ATGTAAACAAGCTGTGGATTGAAGGATATGTTTTTTGCGCTTTTTGAAGAGAAATACTCCTATTCCATCATTCACAAAAGTTGTGAAATGAAGGTTATTAACCTTTTGATGATTATCAATGAGCTCAGCTTGTATTCCAGTTAAGCATCGCAGTTTTACTACCGACAGATATCGAGCATATTTTGGAAGAAAGAATTGCTTAATCTCGCAATCGCAGAAGTGTTAAAATTTTTAACTGCAAAATAACTAACATCATTAATCGGTAAAAGAAAAACCGAAAATCATTACTTCTGTATGGAAAGAAGACTCCGAACGAAGACCTGAAAAAGTACATACTATTTCTAATTTCTTTTTCAAATGGCAGGCCCTCAGCCTACTTCGGCTTGGCCACAACTAAGGCCGGAAGTGTTGGTCACAGTGGAGGCACCTAATAGGTGGACCACCTTTGCCCCTATGAAAGGACGGACAGTTACAGCCAGGCCTTTTCCGGAATTCGAGCCCTTTGGTATCGCACTCGGCTACCCTAACCACTATACCGTCTGGCTGGCTTGTTTCTAATGTTTATAAAGTTAAATAGTTGCTAAAAAGAGAAAAATCTGCCAAAGCAAAAGTCTATCCCAAACTCTTTAAATACAACTGTAGCAACAATAAATAAAATAATAACCAATATTTACAACTCAAAAATGCTAAAAAATATAATGTTCACCAACTTTTTCAAAGGCGTGTGGATCAGCTCAAAACAATTCGTAGAATCCTATATGAAAACTATTTACCAGGACATAATGCAAATGCATTGTGATCCTTGATGAAGTAAGGGCTTACCTAAATGACACTAAAACAAAACAAAAAAAAAAAAAAGATCTATTTATTATCGAAAACGAAGAGAAAATTATGTACAGACCTGATTACATCAAAGAAAATTTCAATAAAGAGTTCATGTTTGCCAGAGGATTCTCTTACAGTGGGAAATTAAAAATGGGAATAATGGAAAAAAAAATGTTGAAAATCTATTCAACATACTTTCAAGAGAAAGTTTTAACGTCCGATATTTACAGAAAAAACTCCATTTCTTTATCCCAATGATTTTTAAAGTCTGAAACTTCATCAAGATAAAGCAGCAAGCCCCACTTCGAAAAGTACCACTGCATTCCTTGAAAAAATAAGAAGAGGCAGGTATTGTATAAAAACCTTTTCATTGCATTTCTGCAAAGACCTTTGATATTCCACCCTGACTACTGTGTGTCTGGCATTTTCAATAAACTCTTTCTAAGCGCAAACTCACCACGAGTGATAGCTTGTGAAAAGTAGTGGAAGATGAGTGAGAATCAATATCCCTCGAAATTTTTCGAAAACTTTCTATTGTGGAAATCACGATGTAGATTCCAGAAAAAGACTATCAGGGCAAACATTTTAAAAAATAAAACTGAGAACAAATCGCAGCAATTTTATAAGGAACTGAAATATTTTAGCCCATACATAGAATAATATTGGCTTATGATATCACATGCAAAGTTTTTTATAGCAAAATGTTGTATGCATATGACTTAGCTTTAAGTAATTCTCGAACAGTGGAATGAATCTGAAATAGAATGAACTGAAGTGGCGAGAAGTTTCACTAATTTCAATAATTCCATCAAATTTTCTTTTATTTTGTTAAATTTTATTCCTATTCTTTCCTACTGTTGCATTGCATCATCGGTATTATATTTTGAATCATTAAATCGTTTGAAATTTTAGCTTTTGAAACTTTCTATAGAAACTGATAAAAATCTTTTCTCTATGAACTGTTTTCCTATACATTTCTCTTAAGATTTATTTTGATTCGATTCCTTTTCTATCACTCAGATTGCTTGTTTTTATGAACCATATTTCATTTTCCTCTGCAAAGACAAATATATAAATTAAATTCACAATATAATTAATATAAATATATAAAAATTCACAGATTAATATAAAATATTAATTAAATAATATAAGCATATATATAAATTAAATTCACAGATTGGTAATTTGCAATCGGTATCAGCAAGAAATATACTTCCAAATAATAATATTTGGAATATATTCCAAATTAGGTCATATATTCCAAATAATAATATTTGGAATATATGACTTCATCAGGAAAGATTCAATATAACATAATAGAAAGACCTTGCATGTAGCACTTAATACATTTCTATATAAAAGTGGTTTACTGTTAATAATAAATTCTATTTTTCACTTGTATTTTTTCATATGTCGTCTTTTAATATTTTGGTACGTAGCTAGAATAGATCAACTACTACACCACTGATTATTATCCATTTATTCAGATGCAAATACATATCCGAAGGATGGTCTTATAATGGCTGATGTTAATTATTTATTACATGTGTTAATTATTATAAAAACATTCGTAAAATATACATTATAACACTCATTAATGTGTGCAAATATTCCCTTGTGCACTGAAAATATAAAAACATATGATGGTATAATATAGTTATTATTTATTTTCTCAGACATTTCTCAGTAAGTACTGTAATAAAATTTGTAATTGCTATATATGGTTTTAATGATAACATAAAAACAATGAATTTGCTGGAAATATCTAATACAGCAGCATATTTCACAATTTCCGTTACTTACTCCATCCAGAATTATTTTAATTAAATTTCTAGGATTACGTAGAAAGAAGATTGCAACACATTACTGACAATGGAATGAAGATTTGAAAAATAAATTATATTTCTGTAAAAAATAATAGTTATCTACACTCATTGTTCCAATATAACAGGAAATAGAGGAATATATACCGTAAAAATACACTTAAAGGAAGGGTCTGGAGCTAATAATAATATATTTTTGTTTTTAGATATGTCCAAAATAAATATTAAAAATAACATCACGGAAGAATGTAATTTTTTTTTATTTAAAATGTTTTTGAAATTGTTATTTGCTTTGACTTCTTTAGCGGTTTCAATCCGTCAGATATAAAAATTTGAATGCGAAAGGATGTAGTTGCTAGTCGATGAGGTCTGAGCTCCTTCATCTTATAAAAGTGCGTTCTCCTCAGCATAATAAAATAAATTATTTAAAAGTCGCTTTTTCTGTATTTTTAAGAATATTTTGCAACAGGTGAGATGTTATACCATTACTATAATAAAAATACGCTTTTAACACCATATAATAATTAGATACTTCTAACTCTACCTCTCCATCTTATGGTCTCAAATAAAAAAATTACTATAAAAGTAATGACGAAATTTTGCAGCAACATATAGATTACAACCATGTGCATCTATTATTATACGTTAGTTTTATTCAAACAGTAATCTCTTTGTAATGTTTTGTAGATTCAAAAAAAAGGGGGAGAGATTTATTTACTTGGAAAGATTTAGTTTTATCAGTTGTGATAGTAAATATCGTTCTTTTTTACCGATTAATAATCTGAATAGCAGATTACAGATATAATTGCAGACTACATGCTAAAAATAAATAAATAAATAAATAAATAGTCTTGAATTCGAATATTATTATTTTGACTGCTTGGAAGTTGAAAAACTGCTCTCTAGTTAATGTAGGAAATTGTTGCCAATCGATGAAGCATTATATTATTATGGAAATCATTTGGTTAACAGTTTAAAAAGTCCTTACTTCTTAATTCATTTTAAAACAAGTCTTATCTTTTAAATATTTAACATGATTAAGAAAAAACATTTAAATGTTTCGTATCGTAGTTCTGTTTATCATTATTATATAATATATTGCAAACTTTCTTAAGCCCACTTTAAATCATATGCAATGAAAAAAAGTACCAAATTCATACTAAATAACTCATAAAATTAAAATAGTACTGAAATATAATAAGAACAAATATTATGTAAACACATATGTAACGTAATGTAGAAATAATTGAAATATAGAATATAGTTTCATCTTAGGAGCATATTGAAAAGCGCAAAAGTAAGGTAAATAGGTAAAGATGATGATGGTGTATTACAGTGATGGCCAACTTCTGTAACTTCGAGGAACAATTCAAGTCATGTCCTAGGATTGCGAGTTGCAAAATATATTTTGTTTAGCAGGTATTAAAAATATGCCGTGAAGGAATAAATACCAATTATTTCAGAGTTCCCGCAGTATTAATTTAAAATTTCATTTTTTTCATGAAAATAGTCTTAATTTTTTTAGATGTATATAAACATGTATAAATCCTGAACGTTAACTAGAAATAATAAATTGTATTGACTTTACCTTAGAAGAAAGTTATCAGGAACCACAAAAAGGCGCATAAGCCACTATATGACTATTATTTATGTATTATACTGCGCTATCGATGTCAACGCACGACTTGTGCGAAAGAGGGGAAGATTATCTTTTAGTATCTCTTAGTATCTTCTCATATTGATTTTAGTATCTTATCATATTGATTTTAGTATCTTATCATATTGATTTTAGTATCTTATATTTTAACTGTGTGAAAGAGGGGAAGATTATCTTTTAGTATCTTATCATATTGTTACAATCCGTCAGGCAGCTCACTAAAATTCACATTTGAACCATGACTGCCTACCTCGACATCAAGTCTTCAAGTCTGCTGTGGCTTGAAATAAGACACTTTATTACTTTATTACACAGTCTCATGCATTTTTATTGTCACATGGTGCTTTATACATGTCCATAACATCTTACAAGCCTGCCGTAACTCTATATGCCTTTTAAAACTCAAATCATTCTCTTTTGTAATCATTATAGAAAAAGGATGCAAAATGTTAGCCCCCCTCTTTTTTTGTAAAAAAAGAAAATTCTGTTTGGATTTCTTTTGTCTAACAAAAATATACCAAAATCCAAATAGCTTAAAAGACATTTTAGAAAATCGGAAAATGCAGTGTTATCAGTATTAGAGTATAAAGAGAAGCATCAAAAGTACTTTTTCCATTGCATAATTTTCTCTCAGGGAAAAAAAAAAAGGACACAGTAATAAAAAATGAAAAAAAATATCTAAAGTTTCTACTCACTTGCTATCTGCACAGCTATCCACAAACTAAGGAAGATAAAATATTTTGTAATATATTTTGACCACATCGTTTAACTTGTTGCATTCGAAGAAGAAAGATATTTCATATAATGTTTTGCGGAGGAAACAGTGTGATCTCTAAACGTTCTTGCGCGCTGCTTTGACCCAGTGTTCATGTTCTTTCAATTTTTCTGAGTATGATTCAGACAATGACATCATTTTTTTTCTCTGTCGTTTGGCTTTTCCTTTAAAAAAGTTGTCTGCTCGATATATGATCCTCACGAGGAAGTATGGCCACACGCAAATCACATAATAGTAAAAGATGGACTATCCCGTTCTAATTCCGAAAGGAATATCGTCATAACTGGCTGATTTCAGATCGCCATTTTTATTACTGCTTAAGAAAAACGGCTCGTTTGTCCGCGATATAAACAAGAGGAAAAAGGCCTTAACCTTGATTGCAACAGACCGTTTAAAAGATGCGTGATTCCATGGTTATATGTTTAATCGCCTTTTTTCTTCTCTGAGCTTTTTATTTCGTTGGGAGTTAACCTTTTTTTTAACGCCTTTCATTTAACTCGTTGTGAAAAGGTGTTGTGGTTGAGTACCTCTTATTTATCTACCGTACCTCCTCTCTTAGTATCTGCACAGAAGTCTGCTTATGTCTTCAAATATCTTAGATTCCTCAATTAGCGAATTAAACTTGAGCTCTAAATGTACCATTAGGAATAAAAGCTTTTGTTTAAAAAAAACTAAGGCCTACTAGTTTTGATTAATTTATGCAAAATAAGAGAATTTCAAGAAACATAAGGCTGTAAATCATAAAGTAACTCAGCCAAGAAATTATTGGTTTAATTTATTTAGATATTCTACGTTACTTAATATTTCCATTCAGCTATTTTATTATTTTACTTATTTTTAATTTATATATATTTAACTTAGATATTTATCATCTGCAACACGAGGATTGCATAGATATTTATCATTTGCAACACGAGGAAATTCATTTGAAAACATAATAAACGCATAAATGTTGGAGTAAATTATGGAAATTTTTTTAAATGACTGAAAAAATAAATTCATTGAAGAATACTGTATATATTTGTAGAATATGTAAAAGTTTGTGTTTCATTCTGAAGTTTAATCTAGGATCTTCCAAACGTCAAAACCTTCATCATTTTAACTACTAAGGTAATTTTCCTTGTTTCCAATATTTCATATACCTTGATTACTATAGATTACTGCATGTACTGTACATCTTCATGGGTTTGTATATGAATATGTATTAAAGTACAATAAATAAAATATGTTTTAAATGCTATTATTTTATATTACATTTTGAGTGAGTATGCATATAATCAAGTGGTATGAAAATTCTTGTCAATTTACAACCTTAGAATAAAAACTTCGGCATAAGAACGAAATACAGTTGTTTCATATAAATGTATGAATGTATCACTTCTAATATTTTATTACAGAGTAGGTCTCAGGGAACTTATTGATGCATATCATGATTATATGAAATTTTTCAGCAACATTATTTTATGCCTTATCAAATTATTAATGTTTATTCTGTCATTCTATTATTTTTATTCAGATTGAAGAGCTTTAAGCTTAGTGTTTAGAGCTAACATGCCAAAATGAAATAAAATCATTATTCCTATTTATCATGAAGGATTTATGCGAATTGAATTTGCGCAATTTTTATTGGAATGCGCTGGTTGCTATTTTCTATTACCCAGTAACATTAAATCTTTTAGATGAAGTAATTTTTCCAACATCTTTTTCTTTCAACCGAGACGCATATAAATGTATGCAATTTACATAACTTCTTTTCCTCCTTTTTCTTTAATATTATAATCTGTTCTTTGTCATGTTTTCCTTATTAAGTATTTTATTGTTGGAACTCTGGAACGACTGGTCATAGATTGCAGTTCTTGTTTAGTAAATGTATCAGGTTCAATGTTCCGTCTTACTTTCTTTGGGAACATGCACAGACCTGACTCGGAACAGGGAGCTTACTAAAGCTATGTTCAATAAATGTGGGAAGTAGACAAGATACACAGGAAGGGTATACGAAACCCTTTATTTTTCACTCTTTACAATAATTTCCGTACTTCGGAATACAGAGACCAACTACTTGTGGTCTGAACGTAAGAATATAAAAATATTTAACTAAACTCTAACTTAACTTTGGAATAATAAACAAGGGCCTACGTGGAAGATTGGCCTTATATTAACAGGAAGCCGTATGTAGTACAGAGAACTGTTAACACTACAATACGTTTAAAATTTATCAAGAGGATTAAACCTCTGCCTGGAAGGCAACCAGCAACCGAGTAAAACTTCTAAGGCAAGCGGCCTGCTTCGACTAACTCCTTCCTCTCACTCGCTTGGCAAAAAGGCCACAACTTAAGTACTTGGCGTTCGCCAGGACAAATTTGCATAAATAAGTTAAAGCTTTTAATTCTGGCCGGAAGTAGAAAATAAGAAGTGATAGTAAAGATTTAAAATAAAAATAAACGTTAGTAAAACTTAAGATTCTTACAAATGTATCAAATAATACTTAGTTATAAAACATAGTGCCACTCAGAAAAAATATTTACGTAAACGAATTAATAAAAAGAATTATTCTCATACAATGTAAATTACCTGAGATATAATCAATTAATTTTTTATGGATTTTATATATATAATTATATTTATTCTAAACAGAGATATGTAGATATGCAAATTTTCGAAGGTGAATTTTTGAAAAATTCATCAAAAGAATACGACTATGGCATGAACTTACAGTTTTCAGTCCTAGAAATGAAAACTTTCAAGCATTTATTCTAACCTAATTACGGTCCTGTAGCTAAGGATTTAATTTCCTTTCTTCGCAAAATGTGGTTTCAGGCATCTAATGTTTTCAGCCAAATTTGCATATAAGAAACCTTATAATATATGTAAAATAAATAAATAACAATAAAATAAATATATAAAGATTCTCTAGTGAGGTTAGGAAGAATTTTGCGAATAAAACATGCTTCATAAAAAGTTTTTATTTTGTAAATTTTTGTCTTTGCCAAACGTTATCATGCAACCAAATTTTTGTAGAAGTTAACCATATTTGATTTATTTTTTGTACTTCAAATATAGATCTGTGACTATTCAATCAGTCACAAATATTTTTCTTGCATTTTCTTTTTAAATGTGTTTTACATGCTTAAAAATAAAAATTGCAAAATGGTAACATTTGCTTTCCTTTAAAAGTGGGCTGAGAAAACTTTCTGCTTTATCCAAAACTACCATTGATAAAACTGCTGCTTATAATTCTAAATAAAATTTAATTCACGTTTCTGAGAGAAAAAAACGGTGGGGGATATATATTTATGTTTCACTAGTTTGTGAAAATGTGTCTGCCAAATACTAGATCTCTTTATTTATGGTTTTTCCCAATTCATTGCAACATGATACTTTTATATTTTACATAGCTTATTTTTTAAGGATAGTACATCAAGCATGAATAGTGTACGGCCAGATCTATCTCTGCAGGATATCTATTTAAGTGATTAAAATATTTTTCATGCTGTTTAAAATCTTTATCGCGATTGCTAAACAAATTAAAAGTACTTAGCGTTAAAAAAGCTAATTATACTCTGGATGTGAAATCTTTATGCAAATAAACGAACAGTTCCGGCATAAGAGAAGCGTCAAAAACTTAGACATGCATGATTGTGCTACGAACGCATGACGTAGCTCTAAGTCCTTAATACTTTCTTTATTGGGATACTTTAATTCCTGTTTATATATTCCTCGTACTTTTTTACTTGTCTGCAGTGCATCTTTTCAGTTGAGTGTTATTTTGCGAAAAGAACACTTAGACTTCGAACTATCGATAAAAATAGTTGAAAACCAAGTAATTGCGATCTGAACACTCGAGATTTAAAATTAACTGCAAATCAAAACATTGATAATGATGAAAAAATTGAATAATGCGATAATGAAAATCAGGATGTAAAACGGATAATATGAAGAATGTTGGGAGAAAATTCTAAATCGTAATGAAAATGAAATCAAGTAATTAAAATGCCGATGAAAAATTATCCTGAGAATCAGATTTTATATAATGATTTTAATATATCATTTGCTCAAAATGAACAAGAGATCGAAGGGTGGAGGTAGGTTAGGTTATCTGAAAGGCTTTGATGACTTTGTGGAGGACTTCCTAAGGGAAACAGACTTGTATTCACGTTAGATATGGGGAAAATACGAAAATTAAAACCATACAGGCAAGCTCTTTCACCTGTTTCTGAGCCCGGGTCGAACTACGAGGAGTCAGTAGTCTTTACTACTCAGCCTACTTGCGGAACTGAAGTGTGAAGGGAAACGATTGCTCGAATAATGATCCAGGCCAATCAAATGTTGAAATCTTTAAATAGTTATATGAAGTGGGTGAATAAAGGGAAGACTCTGAACAGATTTCATTTCTGCGAGTTGAAAAAATACGAAATATGACGGCACATAATAGGAATATCTTATTTTGGAAAGAAGTAAAAATCTGTGCAATTACTCTGAACTTCTGCTTATTCGAACTGGCTAGATCTTATCAAATTAGATTAATCATTGATCTGTTATATTTATAACGAGCATATAGGGCAGGCTCCAAAGCCTCAGTGCGGCCACATTTTTAGAATTTAGGAGCGGCAAAATCTCTTTTTCATGTGATGCATGAAATTTTTTAACGTTAGTGGCCTTGTTAAATACATTAACATTCGATTTGAAAAATGAACTGAATACGAACATAATAATTACCTTTTAGGATTCCCCACTGTGTAATTCTAAGTTGCAGTTGAAAGTGAAGAATCTTAAGAACTAGTAAGCGAATAATCGCTTGAGTTTGTGAAACGGTGAATAAACTTGGAAAGGGTTAAAAGACAGTTTATTATTCCAATAAGGTGTAGCAGAACTCCGTCTTTAAGTTGTACAATAAAGCCGACACTTGGGCTTCAACTTAAAAGACTAAGAATTAAACTAAACTAACCTTAACTAAAGAGATATAGCCGAAGCTATCAAAATTCAAACAGAGTTGGCCCCTTAACGCTAATTGACTGTGAAGTGTCAAGAGCCTAAAGTACGGCCTAGCGTAATAATAGCTTACGAGAGAGTAGCCTAAAAAGGCGGACACGTGCTATCCAGAATATCTGGTATCTCTCTCACTAAGACAGTAGAACTTCGCGGTTAAATACAGCTCTTCCTCATTAGCATTCAGATGGGATTCTAAAACTATGTTCTGGCCGGAAGTGGGAAGTTGAAATTAAGAAGTGATAGGAAAGGAAGTTTAACTCAAAATTTAACTGTTCATAAAATTAACATAATCCTTACAACTTTACTACGTAGCGATTTTACAACAGAATACAATACACATTTTACCTGAAAAGTACTGTGTGCATTCTGCTATATATTCTACAGCATATTATACAGTAAAGCATGCTGCAAAGAAAAAGCAAGGTTGCTTCAAGGAAATATTGTAGTTCCTGCATACGATGCTATAATTTTGATTCATACTCATGAAAAGCTAAATTTATTTTTCATCTTCGGAAATTAAAAAAC